ACTCTGCATCTAGTTTCCACCAAGTTACACCTTGACTACAGATGTTAAGCCCAACGTTAAATCCAGAAAGTATACACAGGTACACCGAGCATTTGTAGTTCCATGCTGTCCCATCTTGGCTCGATCAAGTGTGTTTCCCTGCCACGTTACTACATGCATAACCATCAACACCACAATAAAGATAGAGAGCTAGCCCGCCACCCAAAGGTCTTCCTCATTCCACCTCCCTCACTGACCATCCCTACCTCTTGGCAATCACTAATCTCTTTTCCATCTCAACTTCTGTCATTTCAAGAATGTTTTACAAATAGAATCGTACGTGACCTTTTGAGAACAACTTTTCACTCAGCAGTGAGATTGAATCATGTTTTATGTATCAGTAGTTGTTCATTCTCTTAAGTTGTGTCCAATTCTTTGTAACCTTTCGGTCTGGAGCATGCCAGGCTTCCCTATCCTTCGCTATCTCCTGGAGTTTGCTTAGACTCATATCCATTGAGTCAATATTGTCACCCAACCTTAACCTTTGTTGCCCCCTTCTCCTGTTGCCCTCAATCTTTCCCAGCATCAGAGTCTCTTTCAGTGAGGCAGCTCTTGCCATCAAGTGGCCAAAGTACTGGAGCTTCAGCATCAGTCCCTCCAGTAAATATTCAGGGTTGATTTCCTTTAGGATGGACTGGTTTGATCTCCTTGCTGTCCAAGGGACTCTCAAGAGCCTTCTCCAACACCACAGTTTGAAAGCATCGATTCTTTAGCCATCAGCCTTTATGGTCCAACTCTGCATCCATACATGACTACTGCAAGAACCATAGCTTTGACCATCCGGACCTTTGTCAGCAAAGTGATGTTTCTGCTTTTTAATACACTGTCTAGGTTTGTCATAGCCCTTCTTCCAAGGAGCAAATGTCTTTTAATTTTGTGGCTGAGGTCACCATCCACAGTGATTCTGGAGCCCAAGAAATAAAATCTGCTACTGTTTCCACTTTTTCCCCATCTATTTGCTATGAAATGTTGGGACCAGGTGCCATGATCTTGGTTTTTTGAATATTGAGTTTTAAGCCAGCTTTTTCACTCTCCTCTTTTACCCTCATCAACAAGCTCTTTAGTTCCTCTTTGCTTTCTGCTGTTAAGAGTAATACCGTCACATGTCTAAAGTTGTTGGTATTTCTCCTAGCAATCTTGATTCTAGCTTGTGAGCCATCCAGCCCAGCAAGATATATTCTGCATAGAAGTTAAATAAGCAGGGTGACAATATACGGCCTTGACGTACTCCTTTTCCTATTTGGAACCAGCCTGTTGTTCCATGTCCAATTCTAACTGTTGCTTCCTGACCTGTATACAGGTTTCTCGAGGACAGTCAGGTGGTCTGATATTCCTATCTCTTTCAGAATTTTCCACAGTTTATTGTGATCCACACAGTCAAAGGCTTTAATGTAGTCAGTGAAGCAGAAGCAGTTGTTTTTCTGGAAGCCCCTTTTTCCTATGACCCAGTGGATATTAGCAGTATATCAGAGTTCCTTTTTGTTGCTCAGCAGTGTTCCAGGGTGTGAATGTATCACAGCTTGTTTAACGATTCGCATATTGAAGGGCATCTTGGTGGTTTCACAGGATTCTTCTAAGGTTCTATTGATCTCCATGTTTGGTTCTGCGTATTACCTTTTCTCCTTGTTGTCAAGCTTCCAAGTCGAATGTGTTTCAGAACGTGGTGGTGTGTTTCAGAAGTGCAGTTGAATCATACTGTGTTTGTCATTATTTCAAACTCATTGAACTCAAAACTCAGCTGATTCAAACCAAAGGCCATTGATCTTCCAGGGGCTTCCATCCATTTACTTTGCAGGTAAGTACTGATACAGTGTGTTTATGGAGATGGTTGCGTAAATAGTCTTAATACTTGTGGAGACAGAGACTCAAGTTTGAGTCTCACTGTTAACACTTACTACCTGTTGTCCTCAAGAAGTCACCTAATCTTGAACCTTCATTTTCTTATCTCTTAAGGAAAAAGAAAAGAAAAAAAGGAACAACCCTATCTCATAGGATTGTTGTGAGGATTAAGTGAAATTATGTAGGAAAAGTATTTGGGGAGCAGGAAATCACCCTACGAATGTTACTGCAATATAAAAGTAAAGCATCCTTCATTAGTGTTTTACCAAAATTATTAGGATGAATAGTTTTTATTAATGGGTAAGTATGTGGAGGAATGGGACATCCTTGCTGAGGAAAGAAAATCATGACCTAGTTTTTACAGAGTTAGAAGGCCAAAAGAACAGAGAGGAAGAATGGTATTTCTGTATGGCTGCAGTGGATGACCTGTGTTCTAATACAATACCATCTGGCAGATGTGAGAAGAAATCATTTAAATCAACAATCTGTAATGAGCTACCATCTGATTCCTGTTAATCAAGACTTCCTTTCTCAAACCGTCTTCCCATGGTTTCCATGACCCTGTTCTCTCCTGCTTTCTCCTGGCTTATCACCATCATCTTCTTGGCCCTTAAATATGGAGTTCCCGAGGGATCATCCCTGTACTTCTCTTTCCATGACCTCTTCCCTGGCAATATCATGCCTTTACATCACTCTCCAAACAAAGCCTACATCTGTGTCTCTAGCCCTGACCTCCCTCCTTTCCATCCTGCTGGCTGCATGACTCTATCTCAGACTCAGTATTTCCAAAGCTGAGGTCATTTTTCTTACAAGATGTCCCTTCTTTTTGAATTATTTCTTTCTCTCCATAGTCCTACTGTGTTTTCAGTCCCTCGACATTCTTCCCTCTGTCACCTCCTAGTATCCCCCAGATCCAGTCATCTTATTGATTCTTTGACCACAGTGTCTCTCATGCCCTCTTTCCTTTCCATTTCAGGTCTACACTGTTAGCTTTTTAACTGAAATCCCACTTTCCATCCCCACTGCCGTCTGTTCATCCCTCCTCAGCTTTGTCACATGAATCTTCTACAGCATCATCCAGGTTCTTCCTTCTCAGTGTCCTCGATTGCTCCCCTTAGAGATTAGCCAGATGGCTAGTCTAATATAGAATATTCCCCATGATCAAACTGCTTTTTTATGATCTTTATATTTTAAATATTTGCTTATGTTTTATGAATTTATTGATTTGGCTGCACCAGGTCTTAATTGAGGCATGCAGGATCTTCTTTTTAATTGATCTTAGTTCCTCGACCTGGGATCAAACCTGAGCCCACTGCATTGGGAGCACAGAGTCTTAACTGCTGGGCCACCAGGGAAGTCCCTGATTTTTTAGTCTTTATGCTCAACTCCAGATGAACTGAAAGGCAGTAATATGAAACAAAACTTCTTTGTTCCAGAATTCCACAATGGTCTGCTTTTCCAACTTCATTTAAAATAATTTATGGGCATGCCTTCTCTCCTTTTCTATGCTGGACCCATGTATAGTTTCTCTCAATATCCCCACAGAGTTGCATATAACAGGTGTTTGTTTATTGAATGAATAATTGGTCCTATGATAGAAACTCAATTCTCATTTAACCCATACATCCAACAAGCAATTATTGAGAAACTTGTGTGTCAGGCACTTTGAGGCATTGAGACAGAGTGGGCACAGTTTTGTATTTTTTATTTTTTTTTATATGAGTTTATTCTTCATTTAATTTTGAAAACACTTTCAAAACAATTGAACATTTTTTAGAAAAATAATAGCAGGTAGTTAATATTATTGTAGTCCTTCACTTACTCTCTGCTACATATAAAATGTTTTCAGTGAGTCCTCTTCACAGGCCCCATGAAGAGCTCTGACACAGAGCACCACGCCCGGGGTGACGTTCGTCATTCTCGTGTGCGGCTTTATTGTAATGGCTCTGCCTTTCCTGATTTGGAGCAAAGCCCACCGGTTCTACTTGGTCCACTTCATCCTCTTCTGCTTCCTTCCTCTTGGGTAGTTTCCTAGCAGAGATTCTTTGAGAAAGCCATTCTCAGGAAAAAGTTCAGTTGCTCAGTCATGTCTGACTCTGAGACCCCATGGACTGCAGCACGCCAGGCCTCCCTGTCCATCACCAACTCCCAGAGCTTGCTCAAAGTCATGTCCATTGAGTCAGTGATGCCAGCCAACCATCTCAACTTCTGTTGTCCTCCTGCCTTCAGTCTTTCCCAGCATTAGGGTCTTTTCCAGTGAGTCAGTTCTTTGCATCAGATGGCCAACGTTTTGGAGTTTCAGCTTCTCAGGAAAGTTTACCTTAAATTCAGTGACTAGGCAACCCATTTCTTAACAGTCCATGATACATTGGCATGCCTTCATTTAGCACACTCATTCTAGTAGCAATCTTAAAGATGTTACCATTGGATTATTTGTGACTTTATACTAGGGTATCAGCTTTGTTTGTTGTTTAGTCAGGTAGTCATGTCCGACTCTCTTGTGACCCCATGGACTGTAGCCTGCCAGGCTCCTCTGTCCATGGGATTTCCCAGGCAAGAGTACTGGAGTGGGTTGCCATTTCCTTCTCCAGGGGATCTTCCCAACCCAGGCATCGAACCCACTTCTGCATTGGCAGGTGGATTCTTTGGTGGCTCAGTGGTAAAGAATCCGCCTGCCAAGCTGGAGGCATGGGTTCAATCCCCAGAAGAAAGAAATGGCAGCCCGCTCCAGTACTCTTCCCTGGGAAATCCTGTGGACAGAGGGGCCTGGGGGCCACAGTCCATGGGGTCACAGAGAGTCGGACACGACCTAGCACTAAACAACAAGTCAGCTTTGTACTTAGTGCCTGATAGCTTTCTTCAGACACTAGTTTAAGGATATATTAAATAATTGTACTGTGGTTGCCTGAAGCATATGGAATGTATCTGTTTAGTGAAGTGAGAAGTCTATGTTAGGAAAACATGGGTGAGTTTTACAAAGGATCTTCCTAAGAGAAGGAAGTCACTGGGTGATGGGGGGAGAGTGAGGATATCAAGCTATTGAGGTCTCCCCCACTTAGTCATTTCTTCTTGGGCAGGCAAGTCCATGAAACTAACATAATGTGCTCTTGGATCCTATACAGATGGCAATCAGGAATTATTTCCCTGTGAAGTCTGTGGAAGACGCTTTGCAGCAGATGTTCTGGTAAACATAAAGACATTTTGTAGATGTGTTTCATTGGAGTTAAATGAACTGTCAAGTTAGTGAGGAGGCCGCAGTGGCAAAGATTAAAGACAGATGTGGAGGGAAAGCAAGGAGAGAAAAGTACATAACCTGTGGCTGGCAGGCCCCGAAGACACTTAGGTAGGTTGATGCTGCCCCCTTCAAAAGGGAGCTTTTTAAATCTGGTCCTCTTCCTGAAAGGAAGCCAGATAAAAGTGTCTTGGCACAGCTGATCGTCTCTTGAGAGGTTTTGGCTCTTTCGCCTTTTCTATAAGCATCAAAAATTCAAATTTTAAGGCCAAAGCACCAGGGAAATTAGCTAGTCAAGAGGAATGAACATTGAATTTGGAGCATCTGGAAACTTGGCTTTTAGCCTCAAATTTGTCACTAATTCTGACAAGTCCTTTAACCTCCCTCTGTTTCCTGCTTTGCCACGTATAAAGACAGAACTCTCCAGTTTCAGGGATTTAATGTAATTTGAACAAAATGGGTGTTAGTCCTGTTCCAGGACCTAATTGTTAATTAGATTTAAGCTAACTGCATGTCAAGTCCCCTGATTGATGCCCATAAAGTTGAATAAAGGCTTGATTTATTTCAAAATTAGGGAAACAAACTGCCCATATTATGAAGGAGTTCCCAAGAAAAATGATTTTTTAAAATCTAAGATAATGAACTATTAGCTGGGACATTTAGATCAAAGAGACTTGTTTTCAAACTTAGAATTTGGACTCTAATCCTGACTACATTTGGGGCAAAAGACTACCAAATGAGGTTGTAGGTTTTATTTCTCTGGGGAATTTAAAAATAGAATATCTGTTCTAGTTAACTACAGCTAGAGTTTCCTGGATCTAGAAGGGGAACTAACAGGGCCTATTGTGGCCCAATAATCCCCCAGGGAGCTGCCTTTGCTAACCCAAGACTGCACCCCATGAGACTGGATTTGAGACCTAGGGAGGTACCTTTGAAGAGAGATCACTACATGCTAAGTATTCTTGAGTCCTCTTGAGTTTTACTTCGTTGACCTATTTCTGGGCTGCAAAGAGCAGTTGATCAAGCGATCTGCTCTTTCTCTTCTCCCCTTCAGTTTTAAAATGGTATGGCATGTTCATCACCAGGTGCAGTGATTTTCATGGATCCTGTATTTCTTGGGTCTGGACAAAGTAACTGATAGCTGTTATGAGTTACATAACCATGAATGAAGAGGGCTTAGAGTGGAAGGCAAAGATTGGCATAATCCTTTAGTGGTGCAGTAACTTGATAAAGGTGGTACACAGGCAGTATTCTTGCCTGGGAAATCCCGTGGACAGTGGAGCCTGGCGGACTACTGTCCATGGGGTTGCAAAAGAGTCAGACATGACTTAGTGACTAAATCACAACTACAAACAACATAGGCAAAGCTCTGTGTGCTGGTTCCCTGGTTTTTGTACCAGAACTGCTGAGTTTTTACTGGTCTACTGGCTGGGGTCATTTTCTCTGCCAATGGTCTTGTAAGTATTGTAATATTTTAAAGTTTAATATTATAAGCTTAGGTTTGCTCTAAAATAAATGACTTCATGAAAAATGTTTGGACACACTAAGGGAAAATGTCTTCATAACTTAAATGGAATTGATGTATTTTTCATTTGTCATATGGTTGTCCCAGTTGTTTCTTGCAGATGTTCTCAAATATTTCTTTGAAACCTCTCCACTCATTTTTTTCAGGAGTTAAGTGGTTTGATTTGCTGTATGTAGAAAAGCAACCCAGTTAAATTCAGTTTTGAAATGTTGAGTGGTAAGAGTTTTTCTGAAAAGGTTCCACTTGTATAAGAAGCTAAGTTTCTCCTTGCTTTGCATACTTTTGTATGCAGAGAATTATTTCAAAAGGATGGAAAAACAAGGTTGTTGGGACTCAATTCCTGGATGACTTGCCTTTGGAATTTAGAAACAGTGAAGGCAGAAAACAGAACAGAAGTAAAGAAAATTTCCTTGGCTTCAGTGAGTACCTAGCCGAATATCAGAAATAATTTATTTCAATTTAAACTAGAAACGGAGTCTTTTCAACATTGTTTAATGCTTGGAACTATTCACTGAGCCCAAGTGGTTAAGTTAAATATGTAAGACCAAATTTTAAGTCCGTTTCTTTAGCTGTAGAGGCCTTTTATTGACCTTGCCCAAACACAATATCTAGTTATGTGTAACATGGGTGAAGAGAGCCAGATGGATTTGCTCTGCTGTGATTTGAGAGTTAGAGAATGAACTTGGCTCTGAAGGTGCAGCCCAGTCACTGCAGTGGGGGCTGCTTGAGTACACTGAGCCGTTACCAACTCTGTGATTGTACATGTTAAAAATTTTAATCCCCACTCCTTCTTTTCTAGGAAAGACATGGACCAATTTGTAGAAAACTCTTCAACAAAAAACGTAAACCTTTCAATTCCTTAAAACAAAGATTGCAGGGCACTGACATTCCCACTGTGGGGAAGGCGCCTCAGTCCAAGGTACTATCGATATCTTCCTTGCTGTTCTTGATTATGTCCTTCAGTACATGAAAGCCTCTTTCTGGCTCTCTGCTTTCATTTTTGCTTGATAGGGCAATGTAATGTCATGTAAGTATAATCCACCTTTACTGTTTTCTTTTTAATCATGCACACTTAGATTTCCAAATGTATTTCAGATACTTTCCAGATGTGGCAGAAAACAAATCTCGTTTATATTTTCATTAGAGTAGCATTAAATCCAGCAATTAACTTGGAAGACAGTCACTTTAAGGTTACATTTAAGTCTTCCTTTAAAGTTTTGTAATTTCTTTGTTTTTTGTGATTGTTGTTTTGTATTTTCCCTCACTACTGTGACTTGAAAATTTTATTACTGTGTTTTCCAAACCTCTTTTAGTGCTTTTGGAAAGCAAACTCTCTTTTTTTCTCCAAATTTCACAGTTCCGTTTCTTATAAATTCAAATCCCAGCTTTAAAAAAAAGATTATAACAGTGAGATATATAGCCTAGATTAGTGTATGTTGGTTTAATTTTTTTCCAGCCACAACCCGTGAGAAAATCTAACTGGAGACAACAGCATGAAGACTTCATTAATTCGATTAAGTCAGCAAAGCAGTGTACACTAGCCATTAAAGAAGGCCGGCCTCTCCCACCTCCACCCTCTCTGACCGTCAACCCAGGTGTGTGGACAGTTTGGTTTGCTTTTGACATTTTACTCTTAACCAGTTGAGGCTATGCTTGATTTTTTGGCCTAGTCATACTTTGCTTCCTCCTAAAGCATAAATACTAATCCTCCTAAATACTCTAAAATTTTAAACATTAGCAATTAAATTATATAAAAATAATTTTACCATAAAAATTATCTTATCCTATTTTTTCAGTTCTGTATAAAGATTCTGTGATTGCTCCTAACTTTAACATGAGATCACCACTGTACCCAACATCATGGCATTACAGAACTACAGGGGATGCTGTTCATGTCCAGGTTGATGGTAATGGAGCTGGACAGAGCAGTTTAAGTAGTTCTGTAATAACTCCATACTGTCAAATACCCACAGCTCTTTTATTTTTTTGAGATCAAATTCCATAATACAAAAATCACCATTTTAAGTTGTACAGTTTAGTGGCCCACAGCGTTTTTACACTAAGCTTTTTATTTTGAACATTTTCAAATTACAGAAAAGTGGATGGAATAGTACAGTGATCACTCATATACCTTCCACTTAAATTTGACAATTTTGACATTGTCATATTTTCTGTCTCTTTCTCTCTCTTTCTGTGAGGGGGCACAAAGATTTAAAATTAAGCTTCAAACTTTGCAACTGTTGCAGCATGCATTTCTTAAGGACATCTCCTATGTGACTACAATACTGTTATTGCACTAAGTATTAATGTGACATATTTTCCCAGTTTTGTTAAGAATGTCCTTTGAAGCTCTCACCTCACCACTCAGCCACAGTCCAGGATTCAGCCAAAGTTTGCACATTGTCTTTTGTTGCCTCTTTAGTCTCTTTTAATCCTGCACAACACTCCTGCCAGCCCAGTTATTTTATAAAACGGATTTGTCTGCTTCTGGGCTTCTCTGGTACGTCAGCTGGTGAAGAATCCGCCTGCAATGCAGGAGACCTGGGTTTGATCCTTGGGTTGGGAAGATCGCCTGGAGAAGGGAACAGCTACCCATTCTAGTATTCTGGCCTGAAGAATTCCATGGACTGTACAATCCATGGGGTTGCAAAGAGTTGGACACAACTGAGTGACTTTCACTTAAGCCATATTAACATTTAACTTGTTCCTCCACCTCCTGTCTTTTTGTAAATTGGAGATTAGGACTAGAGGCATGATTAGATTGATGTTAATATGAATCCCTTATCAGATATAGAATTTTTGGATATTTTCTCTCATTCTGTGGACTGTCTTTTCACTGTGTTGATGGTATCCTTTCATGCACAAAAGTAATTTGATGAAGTTCAGTTTACCTGGTTTTTTTTTTCATTTTTTGCCTAGCTTTTCATGTCAAATTAAAAAAACTATTGCAAACCTAAATGTATTGAAGTCTTCCCCCTGTGTTTTTTATTCTAACAGTTTTTATAGTTTTAGCTCTTGTATTTAGGTCTTTCATCCAGGTAATTTTTGAGTGTGGTGTAAAGTAAAATCATTTGAAGTTGGATATCTAGTTTTATATGTGAATAAGTAACTTTCTCATCACTATTTGTTGAAAAGACTTTGCTTTCCCCAGTGAAAGGTTTTCGTGCTCTTATCAGATGTCAACTGACCATATATATGAGAGTTTATTTCTGGGCTGTGTATTCTATTCCATTTTTCTATGTCTGTCCTTATACCAGCACCACACTGCCTTGATTACTGTAGCGTTGTAGTAAGTTTTGAAATCAGGAAGTGGAGAGACTTTTAAGATTGTTTTGGCTGTCTGGAAACCCTTGAGATTCTATATGAATTTTTCAGATGGGTTTTTTTGCTGTTTCGAAAAATGCCATTGAAGTTTTGAATCCGTACATAACTTTGAGTGGTGTCATCTTAACCGGCAGCCTCGAACCTTTTTGACACAGGGACTGATTTTGTGGAAGAAAACTTTTCCATGAACTGGGGGTGGGGGATCGTTTTGGGATAATTCAAGCACATTACATTTATTGTGCACTTTAATCTCATGCTACTGTGAATCTCACAGGAGGTACTGGTCCACAGCTCAGAGGTTAGGGACTCATGATCTTAAAAACTGTTGTTCAGCCACTAAGTCATGTCCAACTCTTTGCAACCCCATGAACTGTAGCACCCCAGGCTCCTCTATCCTCCACTATCTCCCAGAGTTTGCTCAAATTCATGTCCATTGAATCAGTGATGCCATCCAACTACCTCATCTTCTATTGCCCCCTTCTCCTCCTGCCCTCAGCATTTCCCAGCAACAGGCTTCCCTGGTGGCTCAGATGGTAAGAAATCTGCCTGCAAAGTGGGAGACCTGGGTTCGATCCCTGGGTTGGGAAGATCCCCTGGAGAAGGGAAAGGCAACCCACTCCAGTATTCTTGTCTGGAGAATTCCATGGACAGAGGAGCCTGGTGGGCTACAGTCCATGGGGTCACGAAGAGTCCGATAAGTGGGCGACTTTCACTTTCCCAGCATCAGGGTCTTTTCCAGTGAGTTGGCTCTTTGCATAAGGTGGCCAAAGTATTGAATCTTCGGCATCAGTCTTTCCAGTGCATATTCAGGGTTGATTTCCTTTAGGATTGACTGGTTTGATCTCCGTGCTGTCCAGGGGATTCTCGAGAGTCTTCTCCAGCACCACAATTTGATATTTCTTCAGCACTCAGCCTTCCTTGGGTCCAACTCTCACATCCATACATGACTACTGGGAAAAACATAGTTTTGACAATATGGACCTTTGTCGGCAAAGTGATGCCTCTGCTTTTTAATACACTGTCTGGGTTTGTCATAGTTTACTTTCCAAGGAACTTGTGTCTTTTAATTTCCTGGCTACAGTCACCATCCACAGTGATTTTGGAGCTGAGGAAAATAAAATCTGTCTCTGCTTCCACTTTTTCCCTTTCTCTTTGCCCTGAAGTGATGGGACCAGACGCCATGATCTTGGTTTTTTTAAATGGTGAAAGTCAGATTTTTCACTGTCCTTTTTCACTCTCATCAAGAGGCTCTTTAGTTCCTCTTGGGTTTCTGCCATTAGATTGGTATCATCTGCATATCTCTGGTGGTGGCTTAGTCACTAAGTCGTGTCTGACTCTTGTGACTCCATGTACTGTAACCTGCCAGCCTCCTCTGTCCATGGGATTCTCCAGGCAAAAATACCGGAGTGGGTTGCCATTTCCTTCTCCAGGGGATCTTCCCGACCCAGGAATCAAACCTGGATCTCCTGCATTGCAGGCAGATTTTTTACCAACTGAGCCACGAGGGAAGCCCTCGTATATGATATTTGTCCTGGTAGTCTTGATACCAGCTTCTGATTTATCCAGCCTGGCACTTTGCATGATGTACTAAGCATGTAAGTTAAATAAGCAGGGAGACAATATACAGCCTTTTCATATTCCTTTATCGATTTTCCAATTCATGAACATGGGATGTCTTTCCATTTATTTATGCCTTCTTTAATTTCTTTCAGCAATGTTTTGTGGTTTTTAGTGTTTGAGTCTTTTGCTTCTTTGGTTAAATTTATTTCTAAGCTTTCTTTTGGTATTATTGTAAATGGAATTGTTGACTTTCTCTTCAGATTGTTAGTGCATAGAAGTACAACCAATTTTTGTGTGGACAAAAGTCCTGCAGCTTTGCTGAATTTTGATTATTAGCTCTAACAAGTGGGTTTTGGTGTGGAATCTTTAGGGTTTTCTACATATCAGTTTATGTCATTTGTGAAAGGAGATGTTTACCTATTCCTCTTCAATTTGTATGTCTTTTCTGTGTTAAATCTTCTGGTTAGAACATCCAATACCATGTTACATAGCATTGGTAAAAACAGATATCCTTGTCTTATTTTCCATTGATGATGTTAACTGAGGGTTATAACTGACTACTTAAAGCATGAGTGGGCACGTACTATGGGAATTATAACATTTGGAAGTGAAAAGTATGGCAATAACTGGATATGGTTGAGTGGGAAAATGAATATATATTGTTGAAAGGTTCTTAAGGTTTACATGACTAGGTATAGTACTATCTGAAGGTAGAGTATTATATCATAAAGATGCCTATTAATAAGCCCTAGAGTAGGCATTCAAAAATATTGACGTATAGCTGATAAGACATTATGTTGACTGGAGATAAAATGGGGAAAAAAATTCAATCTAAAGAAGACATGAAAAGACGAAAAAAGGAATAAAGACCAGGTGGGATAAATATAAATAGCAAAATGATAGATTTAAACCTAACCATATAGATAGTTGCCTATAAATAACCTGAACACTTAAGATAAAATGCAGAGATTGTCAAACTGAATACTAAAGCAAGGTCCAATTATATGCGTTCCACAGGAAACACCTTAAAGACACAAATAAGCGAGCCAGGAGATAACAAGATGGGGAGGTGAGCCAGGTGGGTCTAGAGAGGCCACACCTTCCCTGAGGGACAGCTGCTCCTTGGCTTGTATCATTTTGATCCAATTGACATCTGTAGCTACAGAGTGATACACAGTGACAGCAGAATATAATTGTTATCAAGTACACATGGAATATTCAACCAAGATAGACCATGTGCAGGACCACAAAATGGATCTCAATAAATCTGAAAGGGTTGAAACCATACAGACTATGTTATTTGAGTACAGTAGAATTAAATTAGAAATAAATGATGAAAATATATCAAGAAAACTCTTGAATATTTGGAAATTAACAAATAATTTCTAAATACCCTATGGATCTAAGAAGAAATTACAGGAGAAATTAGAAAATGCTTTGAACTGAATGGTAATGAAAACATACCAAAATTTGTGAGATTCAGCTAAAGCAGTGCTTAAAGAAAAGTTTATAGCTTTAAATGCGTGCATTAGAAAAGGGATGAAAAGGTTTAAGTCAATTGCCTTAAACTTCCTCTTTAAAAAGAACAACAAATTACACTTAAATTAAGTAGAAGGAAGAAAATAGTAAATATAATTCATCATATTAACAAAATATTTTTTCAAGTGTATGGTCATCTCAGTAGATAGAGGAAAAGCCTGTGCAAAATACA